GAGTTGTCTTTCGACTAGTCGTAGAGGCTCTGCTCTACTAACTCTATCGTTAAGATGTTCGACGAGCAGGTTGTATTCTTCATCGATGTTGTCGATAACTTAATCGTCCCATTCACTCGAGAAGGAGACGAAGTGGTCCTAGTTGGGGCTTCGTTTCTCAAACTTCATAGCTCTCTCTCCACGCACTGAGAAGCAGAATTCAGCGAATACTTCCCAGTCACTCGAATGCAAGCTTTTGGCTTAGTCGATGGACAGGATACCGTCTGCACCCACAGACTCTCCACACATGTATGCGTGGATACGCAGCGAGAAACAGAAGATATATCGTCCAGCACAGTAATCCACCTGCGTTTTAGAACAAGTACTGGCGACTTTTAGTCGGCGATTGATTTTCCTATCCGCCACCTGGGGATGCCCTTCGTAGCCTCGTCGCTAACCAGCTGGGATATTGCATTTAGGGAGAAGCTTCAGTGATGGAGATCCGTAGCGAGGCGAGATTAGAAAAGACAGGCAATTCAGCAGGTAACAACCACAAAGTCAAGCAAACCTCAAAATAGAAAGAGGTGCAAACGAGCGCCAGCAATTGGTGAGATCCACAGAGGGCCTAGCTGCTAACAGAAGTCGCAGGAGGCTCCTTAAGGCTGTCATAGCAAGGGCAAGGTTGCGGAACTGCAGTCCCTGTGTGAGCTCGACAGTCAAAAAAGATGCCACTATCGAGCCACTTGAGACATATGAGAGTCAAAGTCGTGAAAATAGCGCTGGTGAAATGCTGAGAAGGCCCATTGAGGTGATACGCAGATGGCAGCTCTCACTTGGAAGCGCTAGCTGGTCCCATCGCAATGTCAATTGAAAATGGTCCGACGAGCAATAGGAAAATTGAAATTGGGAAGAGCGAATGGTCTAGATATTGTACCCATTGAGGCATGGAGGTACTCGGAGAGCACGGGACTACTTGTCTCACTGACTTCTTAAGCACCGTAGACGATAAGATAAGATCGCTACACGCAAGGAGATGCAGTCCCATTTTTGAGCAGGAGGGGAATGTCATGTTCATAACTAGTGATAGACAAGAACGAGAAATGTGTTGACCCTGATTTTGATACTAAATATTCCTCAAAATTGAGGAAGCGCTAAAGCGTGTGCCCATCTAAGTACAACTCTAATCATTTCGCACTATTTTAGCACCTTCTCTGGCTTCACCTCAGGATTAGCTGCTCCTGTCGCTCCTTCTTATTCATATGGCCCCCGGTATGTAGACTCAGAAGAGCATTTATAATATACTGTATCAACACTATTTTATGTACATACCTTCACCCTTTTGATTTCACACTTCCTTCCGTTTTCTCGAGTGCTGTAGCTTCGAATCCCCTTCATAGATCCTCAGCAACAGGAATCACTGTGAGCTCTGTGTACCAAGGCCCTTCGTTTCCAGGAACCAGGTAGCTACAATTACAACAAAACCGACAGTGGTCAAAAAACGGGGGAGACAAGCCACGCTGCTTTCCTCCCTTGTTCCTTTTTCTATCCTTTTTCTCTTTCTCTCATTTCTATTGATCATCTTATACGCTTTCTTCCGAATCAGTGATAGTGAACTTGAGTAGAAACCTTAGATAGAGTTAGTAGAGCAGAGCCTCTACGACTAGTCGAAAGACAACTCTCTTTGAAGACTCTCAAACAAATACGCTAGCTAGGAATCGCATGGGCCGCAGGCAATTATCAACTAACGTCCTAACTTGCGAAGTTATGAAGAGAAGCGACAAAGGAGGATCTGTAAAAGAGAAGAGCATTAATTGTGAACGAAGCCGCCGAGGTCGGAAAGAGTATTCGCGAAGCTCGACGGAGTTTCGCCGACTGCGGTACCAAGATGACTTCCCTTTGTCGTCCAGACGAAACAGTCACTGCATCCTGGAGGGCGATGGAGAAGGGCAACTACGACCTCCACTCGGATCTCTTTGACAGCCACGTCTACCTGTTTACTCACCATATCAGGCAAAACCAATATATCGCCCCTTCGGTTCTTCCTTCTATCGCGGTTGCTTCGCGATACTTAGGAAGAATTCCAGCAGTTACGCAGAAAAACAAGATCGCCTATCGTAGAAAAAAAAGTTTTTTTCTAGATCGGGGAAAGGAATGTAGAAACATATACGTCGATATGTATACATATGTTGGGCGATTGACGGTGCTTTATGCTCAATTCCTCTTGTTCTCCGCACTCGCAATGAATTGTTGTTCTCTGCTACGACTACTGAACCACAGATGCACAGGATACGGTATCCAGTAAATGGTACATCGGCTTCACTGCAAGAACCTACAGTACGGAACAGGCACGCAACTCGCTTTTCGTACGCTGTCAAAGTAACCCTTCGAACCCTCAGGGTCGACTAGTGGTCAAAAAACAGGAGAGCAAGCCACGCTGCTTTTCTCCCTTGTTCCTTTTTCTATCCTTTTTCTCTTTCTCTCATTTCTATTGTCATCTTATACGCTTTCTTCCGAATCAGTGATAGTGAACTTGAGTAGAAACCTTTCAATGACCTGCCCGTTAACATTGAAGTCAAGGAAATCCCTACTCACCCGCTACTGTAATAACCTGAATACAATCGCTGGTAGATACGAAACGGACACCTCGCTGCGGGAAGCTCAACCCAATGCAAAGGAAATTATAGAATTCACAATAGAGCTAAAAGAATCTATCCGCTTAGCAATGGCCCAAATCGATCGTTTAGTGGATGCACTCGATGAAATAGAAGAACCATTAACTGTTGAGCAAGAAGAGCAAGCGGAAGAGTACATGAACAAGGCCCATAACGCGGTGGAAATGCAGAAAAACTCGCCATGAGTTTAGAAGCGAGGGGGAGCCTTAGTTTCACCAATGTATCCAGCGATCCTTCGACGCAATTGAGAAACGTAGGTCAATTACAGGCTAACTCACCAAAACTACCCTCTATTCCCATACCGGTGTTCGATGGGGAAATATGGGAATTCCACAATTTCTAGACCCTTTTTGAGGTGAATGTTGACAGCCAATGGTCCTTGAACAACCTACAAAAATTCAATTACCCAATATCAGCATTACGGGGTGACGCGCGTGAGTTAATAAAAAGATACCCCGCAACCGCGGAAAGTTATACCTTCGCCGTCGACCTTTTGAGAAGGAAGTATGGCAACACTTCGCGCCTTATCACTGCTGTGCAACCTCGTTAGACCAGGAAAAAGCAGAACAGTCAACAGGCGCAGAGAGCACTGCTGGAAACAATCACCCTGATCGTAATTCAACTATAAAAACTAGGGGTTGCACAGGATAGATCGTACAACGCCGAAAAAATACTGACGAAGTTCGCATTCCGCATTCACTGAAAAGTACTGGAACACACAGTGACGCCAGAAATGGAAGAAAACTGTTGGAAAATGACTAGCTTAATAGAGTCAATCGGTGCCCTTATAAGTACTGAGGAACAGATAGATGAAATGATTAATAAAACTGAGAAAAGCGGCACAGCTGAACTGGACAAAGAACCCAACAGCTCCCACTACGCAAAAAGCTTGTATGTTTAGCAACTCGCTAGAACATCAAACTGTGGCTTGCACCCGATATCGCACTGTTGCAGAACGACGCAATTTTCTTTTGGAGAAAAACATGTGTCTCAACTGTTGACGAGAGGGACATTGGGTAAAGGACTGCCCAAGTGAAGGGTGTAGATCCTGCCAAGGAAAGAAACACAATCATGTTTCGTGCCCCCAAAGGGTTGAAGTCAGTACAAAGCATCAAGGCACCTCGTCAGCCATCAAAAAAGTACATCGACACGGAAGTTGTCGACGGCGCAGCACGCGCCAAAGGGCCAAAAAACATACCCACCGACAAAAGTCACACAAACGCACTGAATAGTGACGCATACCGAAGAGGACAGCATGAGATGCTCTCCCCCGCAAGAAATTGAGGCTGCTATAAATGCACCAACAGTACAAAACCCCGCCACAACGCTCAAGGCGGAGAACAATGTGCTGCTCTTAACGGGAATAGGAAAAATATGGAACGAAAAAGACGGAAAATAACAGGCCGTCGAAATACTCTTTGATCCCGGGGCTGACCAATTATATATCAATCGAACCCTAGCAGAAGGTTTGGGGTTCATTCCTGAAGAAAAGAAAAATTCGAAGATATACACGTTCGGATCCACATCACCTACCTTGATGGCATGTGAAGTGACACACGTAGACATTAGCGACAATCAAGGCGTAAAGCATAAAATGCGCTCGCACGCGATCCCAGTGCTGACCGGAAGAGGTCCAAAAATGGGCCTTACATCACAGGACTGCGACTTTATTACAAATAACAACATAGAGCTCTCAATAAGTCTAACACGCGCCAAATCCGCTCCACAAATTCTCTTAGGATGTGACCAAATATATTAGAAGCGGCATCACCGAACTACACGCTACCATCAGGACTAAAAATTATATAATTGAAACTAGGATACCTGTTAACAGGCAAGCAACAGCCAACAGAACAACCCCTTATAACGGATCAATGTCCATGTGATTTATCCAACATGGTAGCAATGGTTGAAACCTTCACAAATAAAGATGACGACTTGGCGCGATGGGACAGATACTGGGCAATGGATAATAGCGGAATTTGCGAATTACGGTAACAAAAAACGCAGAAAAATAAGCAGTAAACCAACAGGTACTGAACCTCCCGATGGGTACTACGTACACCTACCTCACAAACAAAACCACCCACCACTTCCTTCAAATGAGGCTATTGCGATGAAGCGTCTCTGGAGCGTACTGAAGACCCTGAAATCTAAACTCAAACTTCTAGAAGAATATAGTAACATCTTTGAGACACAACTGAACGAGGCATTATTGAAGAAGTACCCACTCATCAAACCAAAAACAGCAAAGTTATCCACTACATACCGCACCAACCAGTACTAACGCCGCATAAGCAAACCACCAGAGTGCGCATAGTTTTTGACGCTTCTTCACATTTCAAGGATTGCCCTGCTCTGAATTACGTCCTTCACCAGAGTCCCTTCATCCTCCTGGAAATCTACGCAATGTTACTACGTTTTCGAGTGCCAAACCTTGTTATCACAGCAGACGTAGAGAAGGCATTCCTTCAAGTCCACTCGCTGAAAATTTTTATGTAGACAATCTCACCCTAGCTGCAGATACCCCTAAAGAAGCAGTTGACAAAGCGTCACTTTCAAAAGAGATTTTTGCAGAAATGAATATGAACTTACAAGAGTTTTTGTCTAATAACAAAAGCGTGAGTGAGGAATCACTAGAAGAAGCCCGCGCATTGGTGCAAACTCAAAAGGTTCTCAGCATCCCTTGGGATAGTAAGCATGACAAACTAACGATTTGCTGCGACTTCCCTTCAACCGTTTCTTTTACGAAACGCACTGTCGCGAGACAGTTTGCCTCTGTTTTTGATCCTTTCGGATGGCTAGTGCCAATTATGGTTCAGGCAAAAAGGTTTCAACAAGAATTATGGAAACGCAACTATGAATGGGATAGTGCACTA